GAGCACAGTTGCAGTAGTCTGTCACCGACTCCTGCTCACCCTATCCGAATGTGTGTCATATTCTCCTCCAGCTGTCCAATGTATAGGTCGTCCCTGACCTGGTACGTCGACAGGATGAAGTGCCATGCCTGGTGACCAGCATCCAGTCGCTCTCGACAGCTCCTGAGCGCCAACTGCACCACCGGCGAGCAGCACCTGGAGATGACCATGAAGGTGAGCAAGTGAGCCGCACGAAACTCCCCACGCAGCTCGATATCATTCACGGGCAGAATTGGCACGGTGCCGTCGGCGAAGCCCTTCAGCCTGGTGCTCTCCAGCTGAGGTTCGATCGACTCCCTCCAGGTGATGAGGTCTCGTCGACCATGCAGCGGTGCGACGGTGATCCGGTCCGGCGAGAACTTGAAGTAGCCATACGCCGGTGCAATCCTGCCCGCTGTCACGTGCGTCGTCGCTGGGAGCCCTCCGCCGCTTTGTAGAGGAGAGCGACGTCGACCATCGACATCGGCACACGAGCTGCCTGCAGCCGCCGTTGACCGCTGCACTCGCGCCTGAATCCTGTCGACACCACCGTCGACCTTGATCACCCCTCTCTGCCTCGTGCCTTCAGTGCCGCTGACTCGTGCACCACCGTCGACCTCGTCGTCGACGCCACCTTCGTTGCGCACCGATCGAGGAGATGCAGGACGAGAAGGGTGTTCCGTCACCCACTGCGACTGGATGCCCAACTCGACGATCGCCCAAGGGATCGTCCCGTACTCGCCATCCGCGTGACGTTCGCATCAGCGTGCCTCCAAGGTGTCCGCTACTCCCGCATCAGCTACGGGGTCGACCATGGTGACTATCGCTGCTGCCGGCCTACGAATGACTTAGTAGGTGCAAAAGTCGGCTCCTAAATGAAGGTCGCGTGTTTGATCCATGCTTACCGCACCATGCAAAGAGACACTCGACAAAGGTAGTGCACTAGATTACGGGGGCTGGCACTGAACTTACTGAGAGTGATCGTAAATTTGCCTAGATCCTTTGTGCTTGCACAATCACGGGAGAAATCGGCAAGAGTTTCACTAGCAAATTTGGAATTACAGAATAAGTTGAACAAGCAATGACAGCAATGACTACATCAGGCACCTAGCATCCCTGCAGCTAGCCTGGTCAACCACTAGCACAGTTCGGTCGACCGCCTGCCAGCGTTGCGTAGAGGAGTCGCGCCAGCACTGCAGAAGGGCGACCTGCCAACAGAGCGGGTCGACGGCGTGCCAACGCTGCAGCAGAGTGGCTGTTCAGCGTTGCCCGGTAGAACACAGCAGACGATTGGCCCGATTTGCCTCGTTAGGCATCTGTCGGCTGTTGTCTGCGCTTGACTAGCCACATCGACTTTGGGATACCAGGTTAACATTCGCCATCGCGCCTTCGACGACGTCCGCGTGCCTCCGCATAACTCGTCGAACAGGTTACCCGGTCGACTTGGGCACCACGAGGTGCTCTGGTCGACGACCAGTGCCTCCGGTCGACCACCGAGTGCCTCTGGTCGACCACCAGGTGCCTCTTGTCGACCACAGGGTCCCTTTGGTCGACCACCAGGTGCCCCTGGTCGACCACAGCTCCTGTCAAGCTACCCCTTGGTCGACGGACCCCTTCCGTTGACCGGAACTGTCAGCGGTTGTCGCCGAGCTCCCCTCATCGACCGCTGCTCACTTGACAGGTCGACGGACTGCTCCGACGACCTCCTGGTTGAGCTGCAGATTGACGGACTGCCCCGTCGACCTCCCGGTCGAGCTGCAGGTTGACGGACTGCCCCGTCGATCTCCCGGTCGAGCTGCAGGTCGACGGACTGCTCCGTCGACCTCCCGGTCGAACTGCCCCACCTGGTCAACAGCCCACCCGTCGCCCAGACCCGTCAGTTGTAGCTGTCGAGCTCCTTGGTCGATAGCAACACCACAGCGGTCCCCTGCAGCTCGACGAATCCTGTCGAGCAGCTCTCCCACTGTGAACGGTCGGCTGCTACTCTCGTACATCCGACCAAGATGTCGGTGTTGCCCAAGCGAGGGCGGGGCCAACAATCCACTCCCGTCAACAGTTACTCATACCGCCGACACGATCCAACTCTTCGCCGCGAAATAAGTCCAGACCCTCGCTAAGAAGTTCGGCATCGCTCCCCTCGGCATTACCACCCTGTTTCGCACTCCTCCGCCCAACCACGAGCCCGACACCACCCCACTCTCCCCGGCCGACCACCGTCTCTACCAGCATCAGCTCGGGTGTCTACTGTTCGCGGCTGTCACATGCCGCCCGGACCTATCCTACATCGCCATCCAGCTTGCCTAGTATCTGCGCCGACCTGAAGGGGAAAACATGGCAGACCTGCGACGCGCCTTACATTACTTCGTCTCTACGCCCGATGTCGGCCTCACCTAGAAGGCGAATCTAACGGCTACTCTACAGCTTACCGGCTACGTAGATGCTGACCATGCTGGGGATGCAGACAACAGGAGGTCCCGCACATGCTTCATTTTCAAGCTTGAGCCAGCTAGAACCATCTTCTGGATCTCACAGAAGCAGGAGCTCATCGCCCTTTCGTCAGCAGAAGCAGAATCCATCGCAGCAAGTGCAGTAGTCTGCGAAGGTCTCTACCTCACGGAGCTCCTGCAGGAAACGAAGATGGCGATGAACGGGTCCTTCAAGTTACTCTGCGACAACCAAAGTGCGATCAAGATCGCAAACAAGCCGGGGGTCGTCAACCGCACAAAACACATCGCCTTGCGTTACTTCTTCGTGAAGGACGAAATCGACAAGGGGAAGGTCTAGCTCATCTACTGCCCAACTGGCGAGATGGCAGCTGATTTTCTGACGAAGAATCTGCCTCGTCAGAAGTTGAGTACTGCTCGGACCTGTGCGGAGTCGTTCGAAAGAGCCACGTGGCGCACCTCGAGGAATGTAGGGGAGTGTTGGAGTATGAAGGGAATTGAGTTTAGCATTCCCGTAGGTGCAGCTGTATCGCACCCGTCATTATTGAACATTGCTAGCATCAGTATCGGATCAGCCCGTATCAAGGGCAGGAAGGTCAACAGTCGCAAGAATCAACTGTCCCGACTGTTGACCATCTAAACTGACAATTGCCGCACCATCGAGAAATGGCAACAGGCGTAACCATCTCCACGGTTACATGCAGCGACTCGGTAACAAGAAGAAGTGCAATAGTCAGAGTCACTGTAGAGTTGCCTGTAAACCAGTTATAATAAGGGAATGTAGCCCTCAGAATATATGGCCCTCAGTGTACATTCCCTTCCCTTCATCATTTCTCCACAAGCACCAGTCGACCTCCTTTGCTCTTTTTTCCTTCATCATTGTGCCTTTTTATCCTGTCAACACCGATGCTCGCTCAAGAACCCAATCAAATCCAAATCAAATCCCAATTCCAACCCCCTCCTTTGCCTTCCCCAAACACCCGGCCTTTCCAACCCCCTCCTCTCCCCCCCTCCTTCCCCAATTTTCATTTCCGGACCCTTCCCCCTCCTGCTCCCTGTTGTAACCAGTGGACCTCCCTTGCTCCATTTCCTTATGGGAGAAACCTGTGCCTCTCAGCCGTACGATCTCCGTGATCAACGGCGCACATGCCGCCTGGAAAGACGCCCATGGGTATGCTTTCATGCCACCTCAGCAGCAGCAGCAGCAGCAGCAGCAGCAGCAGCAGCAGCAGCAGCAGCAGCAGCAGCAGTCAGCTGACCAAAACCAGCAAGATGAAATGCTTCTAAGCCAGCTGCGGGAATCGGTGGACTGCACACGTGGCGGCTCTGTGGAGTGCCACGTGGCAGGCAGCAGTGTGGTCTGCGTCCCACTTTCCGAGCCACGTGGGGCACAAGAGATTGTTAGAAAAGCGTCTGGGACATTGATGCCTGGCGCTGCTGCTGCTGCATTGGCTGCTGCTGGTTTGAGTGAGGAGGGAGGAGTAGGAGGAGGAGGAGGAGGAGGAGGAGGAGGAGGAGGAGGAGGAGGAGGAGGAGGAGGAGGAGGAGGAGGAGGAGGAGGGAAGAAGGGAGGAGGAGGGAAGAAGGGAGGAGAAGGGAAGAAGGGAAAAGCTAAGGGAAGCAAACCATCTCGTGTTGATCACACTCGATCCTCATCCTCCCCTGTATGGCTAGAGACGGCGTTTGATGGGTCAGGATCGCCACAAAATGGTACCGAATCTGCTTGTAACGGATTGGATCGTTCCGGAAGGTACGGATCGCCACAACCGAGTAAATCCAGATTCAAAAGTGGTTTGGGCCTGATAAGTAAAACACTTAGAGGAAAGGAAGAGGAGGGAGAGGAGGATGTGGGAGGAGAAGAGATGAGGAAGGGGAAGGGAAAGGTGCTTGTTTCAGATAGTTCTGGGGTGAGAAAAGGCAAGTTTCCTTTCAAAATCCGTAGCAGCGGCAGCGCAGAGAAGGAGGAGGGGAAAGGGGAAAAGAAGGAGGGGAAGGGAGAAAGGAAGAAGGAGGGGAGGGTAGGGAGTACGAGGAAGGAGAGGAGGAAGGATGAAGCTGGGGAGGAGAATGGGGAGGACGGGCAAGGTGGGAGGAGTGGAAGGAGAGAGGGAGACGAAAAGGTGACGAGACGGAAAAAAATTGTCAAGAGTAAATCCAATGTTGAGGAGAAGGTACAGAAGGATGAAGTTGGGGAGGAGAAGGGGGAGGAGGGGCAAGGTGGGAGCACAGAGGGTGACGACAAGGTGAGGAGACGAAAGAAAATTGTCAAGAGTAAATCCAATGTTGAGAAGGTACAGAAGGATGAAGTTGGGGAGGAGAAGGGGGAGGAGGGGCAAGGTGGGAGCACAGAGGGTGACGACAAGGTGAGGAGACGAAAGAAAATTGTCAAGAGTAAATCCAATGTAGAGGAGAAGGTAAAGAAAGGGATGTTAAAGAAGCTGTTAAAGAAGGGGACAAAGTGGACTGGCAAATCCGTTGCTGATGGTGATGGTGATGGTGATGGTCATGGTGATGGTGATGGTGATGATAAAGTTGACAATGGCGAGTATGAGGAGTATAGAGAAGAGAAATTTACGGAAGAGAGAGTAAGAGAGGAGGGAGTGAGCGAGGAGAGAGAGAACGAGGAGAGAGTGAGAGAGGAGAACAATGAGAGGATTATGAATCAGCTAGGTGCAAAGGGCAATGGCAGAAGCAGCAGCAGCAGCAGCAGCAGCAGCAGCAGCAGAAGCAGCAACGGCCAGGTCTTGCAGCAATCGCCTCTCATCTCGAAACTCTCACTTCCCAAGAGAATTACCACCTTCCCTACCTCTTCCTCAGTTAACGTCTCCTGCTTCCCTCCCCTCTCCTCCCCCTTCTCCTCTCCCTTCTCCTCCCCCTTCACCTCCCCTTTTGCCTCCCCTCGCGCCTCCCCTCCCGGCTCCCCTCGCCCCTACGCTCTCCACCGTTCCCCTCGCTTTCGACAAAAACACCCCTTCCCTCCATCCTCTCCCACTGCCGAGGCCAACAGCAGCAGCTCCGTTATTAGCGCACTCAATAGCGGCACTGCAAGCATCGGCATGTCTGCTCGGAGTATGACTGTTGATGGGACGTCCTATCTGGAACAGGAGCGTACAGGAGGAAGGGGAGAGAGTGGGGAGGGAGGAGGGGGGGAGAGCGACCAGGATTACTCGCAGCGCGACTGGCAACAGGCATCTGACCGTCCATCTGAAACTGCAAAGTCAACGTTGCATCCCAGCCGCTCGTTGCCTGCTCTTGCTCCTTCCATTTTTACCATTGGCTCTTCCCCCCTTTCTGCCGCTCTTCCTCCTCCTCCTGCTGCTGGTGCTGCTGCTGCTGCTGCTGCTGCTGGTGCTGCTGCTGGTGCTGCTGCTGTTGGTGCTGCTGCTGAAGATGAGGATGCTGCCATGATACCAGAGCCAAACAGACGACACACCACCGGGAGTCAGCCCATGCTGCCAAGCAACCCTCCCTTAATCACCACCCCCGTACGCAGCAGCACTGGCGGCACACGCAGCAGCACCAGCGGCATCAGCAATTCCAGCAGCAGCAGAAACCCTAGCAGCAGCAATAACGACACCAGCAACTTTGGCAGCAGCAGCAGCAGCAGCAGCAGCAGCAGTTGTATTAACAGCAAGAAGGGCAGCAGCAGCAGCAATCGCGAGACCCTGTTTCAAAACGCAAGGAAGGGCAGTCAAAGGCTGAGTTTCGATGGGAGTGCGGTGGGTTCTGAGGTGGTGTTGGATGGGAGTGCGATGGATGTTAAGATGGCTCGTAAGACAAGCATGGGTGGGCAAAAGCTGGGCGTGAGGGGGACTGGGAGGGCTTTTGAGGCACCTCAAAAGTCGTCAGAGGTGGGAATGGATGTGAGTGCGAAGGTCCCTAAGGTGCCTCGTACAACAAGCATGGGTGGGCAAGCGGTAGGGGCGAGTGAGAGGGGGAGGGGTTCTGAGATGTTTCGTACGACAAGTATGGGTGGGCAAGAGCTGGGTGTGAGTGGGCGTGGGGCCGGGAGGGGCGTAGGCGTTGGGATGAGTTTGGGTTTAGAGATACCCACAAGTTACTCTGATGCTGTTGTTTTGAAAAGTTTTATGGGAGATGCTTGTGGTGACATTGAAGAGCTTTCTATCGAGGATGAAAGGGGTGAGGAGGAAGGGAGTGAAATGGAGTTGGTGAGCCCGGATTCGAACTGGTTCAGTACCGAAGAAAGAAGGGAAGAGAGGAGGGAAGAGAGGAGGGGAGAGAGGAGGGGAGAGAGGAGGGAAGAGAGGGGGGAAGAGAGGAGGGGAGAGAGGAGGGGAGAGAGGAGGATGAGGAGGAGGAGGAAGAGGATGGGGAGGAGGATGAGGATGAGGAGGAGGAGGAGGAGGAGGAGGAGGAGGAGGAGGAGGAGGAGGAGGAGGAGGAGGAGGAGGAGGAGGAGGAAGAGGATGGGGTGGAGGAGGAGGATGGGGAGGAGGATGAGGGTGAGGAGGATGAGGAGGAATATGCTGATGGGGATGAGTTGACTCCAATGACCTCGCCTGTAGCAACTACTGTGGCCCTTTCCCGCTCTCCTGTGCTTAGTCGGAGGAAGAACGAAGAGGAGGAGGAGGAGGAGGAGGAGGAGGAGGAGGAGGAGGAGGAGGAGGAGGAGGAGGAGGAGGAGGAGGAGGAGGAGGAAGAGGTGGAGGAAGAGGAGGAAGACGAGGAGTTTACTGCAGCCCCTAGTCCTATGGCGCTGTCCCCCTCCTCATCATCATCCCCCTCTGGCTACCCTGTCTCCATGTCCCCACCACCTCGCTCCCCTAAAGTGTCCAGGTTCAACGCACCTGGACAGAAGAAGAGGGGCAAAAAGGGAGGCGGAGCAGAGGGGCCAGAGATGGGTGTAGGGTTTCCCATCCGAAGGGGAAAAACTGGGGCTTCTGGAGCTTCTGCTGCTAGTGTCTCAGGTGGTTTTTCAGGTGGTTTTTCACATGGTGGGGTTTCAGCAGGTGAGCCTTCAGGTGGTGGGACCGGTGGGAAGCCAAAGCACAGACAGTGCAAATCGTTTTCTGGCTTTGACTTTGGACAAACGCTTCTTGAGGATCGGCCGAAAGAGTCCAGGTTCAATGCACCTGGGCAGGAAGCGGGAGGGAGGACTGATGGTGGGGGGAATTCGGGGCGAAAGGGGGCAGTACAGCAAAAGGGGGAGGGAGTGCAGGCCAACAAAGCTCAGCGTGCCATCCCAAAGGCAAACACAGGGGGTTCTGTTGCTGCTGCTGCTGCTGCCGCCGCCGCCGCTGCTGCTGCTGCTCGGGCTTCAGGTGGTGGGAGTTTAGCAGGTAAAAGTTCAGGTGGGGGGGTCGCTGGTAGCCCCAGGCACAGGAAGTGCCAGTCGTTTTTTTATTCGACTCAGGAGTTGAATCATGAGCCGACTCAAAAGTCAGGTGGGGGGAATGTAGCAGGTGATAATTCAGGTGGGGCGGCTGCTAGTAGCCTCAGGCACAGGAAGTGCCAGTCGTTTTCCGGCGTTGACTTTGGCTTGATTGCACCTGGAGAGACGCTTCTTGAGGATCGGCCAGAAGAGTCCAGGTTCAATGTACCTGGGTGGGAAGCAGTAGGGAAGACTGGTGGTGGGGAGAAGACGGGGAAAAACAGGGCAGTACAGCAAAAGGGGGTAGTACTGAAGAAGGGGGCGGGACGAGAAGAGGGTGCGCGGACCAGCAAAGTACGGCTTACCATCCCGAAGGCAAACACTGGGGGTTCGCTGGCTGCTGCTTCTCCTACCGCCGCCGCCGCCTCTGCTGCTGCTGCTGCTTCTGCTGCCGCTGGTAGCCTCAGGCACAGGAAGTGCCTGTCGTTTTTTGATTCGACTCAGGAGTTGAATCTTGAGCCGACTCAAAATTCAGGTGGGGGGAATGTAGCAGGTGATAATTCAGGTGGGGGGACTGCTAGTAGCCTCAGGCACAGGAAGTGCCAGTCGTTTTCCAGCGTTGACTTTGGCTTGATTGCACCTGGGCAGGAAGCAGGAGGGAAGACTGGCGGCGGGGAGAATTCAGGGCGGAACAGGGCAGTGCAGCAAAAGGGGGCGGGACGAGAAGAGGGAGTGGGGGCCGGCAAAGCACGGCTTGCCATCCCGAAGGCAAACACTGGGGGTTCTGTGGCTGCTGCTTCTCCTACTGCCGCCGCTGCCGCCGCCGCCGCTGCCGCCGCCGCCGCTGCTGCCGCCGCCGCTGCTGCTGCTGCTGATTCTGCTGTTGCTGCCTCTTCTAGCCCCAAGCACAGGAAGTGCCAGTCGTTTTCCAGCTTTGACTTTGACTTGTTTTCACCTGGGCAGACGGGTTTCGAGGCACAGCCACAAGAGTCCAGGTTCATTGTACCTGGACAGAGGATGCCCAAGGTGCAATACAAAGAGGCCAGGTTCTACGCACCTGGACAGGAAGAGAGGAGGAGGACGGGTGGGGGGCCCAAGGATGGGTATGAAGGGGCAGTAGAGCAAAAGGGCACGGGACGAGACGTGGGAGGGAAGACTGGTGGTGGGGAGAACTTGGGGCGAAACAGGGCAATACAGCAAAAGGGCGTGGGACGAGACGTGGGAGCATGGGTCCAACAAGCACGGCTTGCCATCCCAAGGGGAAACACCGAGGATTTAGTAGCCACTCATACTGCTCATACGGCTGCTGCCGCTGCTGCTGCTGTTGCTGCTGCTGCTGCTGTTGCTGCTGCTGTTAGTCGTGGTGGTGGTGGTAGGGTTTCAGGTGATGGGATTTCAGCAGGTGAAAATTCAGGTGGGAAGAGTACTGTTAGGCCAGGACACAGGCAATGCCTGTCGTTTTCTGGCTTTGAGTCTGACTTGGGTCAGTGGGATATGGCTATTGCGGCGCCTCAAACGTCTGTTTTTGAGTCTGACTTGGGTCGGTGGGATATGGGGAACGGCAGGGAGGGAGGGAGAGGAGCGGGGATAGCGAGCAGAGTAGAGAGTTTGACTGAGTGGGATATGGGGGACGGGAGGGAGGGAGGGAGGGAGAGGAGGGGATATAGCGAGCAGAGGGCGTAGAGAGGAGGGCTTGAGTGTGTGGGAAATAGAAGACGGGAGGGAGGGAGGGAGAGGAGGGAGAGGAATGGGGATAGTGGGTAGAGTGGAGAGCTTATGTGAGTGGGATGTAGGGGACGGGAGGGAGGGAGGGAGAGGAGCGGGGATAGCGAGCATGGGGCATAGAGAGGAGAGCTTGAGTGTGTGGGAGAGGAGGAGTGGGCGGGAGAGAGGGGAGGGAGGTGGAGGAGGAGGGGAGGGAGGAAGTTTGTCACCTAGAGTAGTGTTGCTTGGTACCGAGGCGAAGGGAAGAGGAGGAGAGAGAGAGGCGGATGGAGGTGGGAGGAGGGGAGGGAGAGGAGGGGAAGGAGGAGAAGAGGGAGGGTTACTGACGTCACCGGCTGTGTTGTTTGCTTCTTCTGGGGTGAAAGGAGGAGAAGGAGAGAAAAATATGGATGGGGTAGGGAGAGGAGGAGATGGAGGTCCACGGGAGAAGGAGGGGGAAGGGAGAGGGCAAGAAGGGAAGGGAAGGAAGGGAGGAGAGGGTGATGGAGAGATGGCATGGATAGAAGAGATGAGGTGAGTGGCAGTAGGTGGCGGAGGCAGCAGCAGCAGAGGCACAGGCGTTGGTGGGGTTGGCACAGGCGTTGGTGGGGTTGGCACAGGCGTTGGTGGGGTTGGCACAGGCGTTGGTGGGGTTGGCACAGGCGTTGGTGGGGTTGGCACAGGCGTTGGTGGGGTTGGCACAGGCGTTGGTGGGGTTGGCACAGGCGTTGGTGGGGTTGGCACAGGCGTTGGTGGGGTTGGCACAGGCGTTGGTGGGAGGAGGAGAGATGTGAGCATGGATATGGGCGCTGTTTGGAGTTTGGAAAGGGCTTTGGGAGGAGATAGCTTGAGTAAGGATGTGAGCCAGAGTGCGAGCAAGGATATGAGCCAGAGTGTGAGCAAGGATATGAGCAAGAGTGCGAGCAAGGATATGAGCCAGAGTGTGAGCAAGAGTGCGAGCAAGAGTGGGAGCAAGAGTGCGAGCAAGAGTGGGAGCAAGAGTGCGAGCGAGAGTGCGAGCAAGAGTGGGAGCAAGAGTGCAAGCAAGAGTGGGAGCAAGAGTGCGAGCAAGAGTGGGAGCAAGAGTGCGAGCAAGAGTGGGAGCAAGAGTGCGAGCAAGAGTGGGAGCAAGAGTGGGAGCAAGAGTGGGAGCAAGAGTGGGAGCAAGAGTGGGAGCAAGAGTGGGAGCAAGACAATGGGCAGGAGTATAAGCATCGGACCTGGAACCATTGCCTTATCTAACAGCCTCAGTGGCCGATCTTATTCCCTCAGTATCCAATCCCCAAGCGGTATCCATTCCCCCCCCATCGGTATCCATTCCCCTGCCAGTATCCATTCCCCTGCCAGTATCCATTCCCCTGCCAGTATCCATTCCCCTGCCAGTATCCATTCCCCTGCCAGTATCCATTCCCCTGCCAGTATCCATTCCCCTGCCAGTATCCATTCCCCTGCCAGTATCCATTCCCCTGCCAGTATCCATTCCCCTGCCAGTATCCATTCCCCTGCCAGTATCCATTCCCCTGCCAGTATCCATTCCCCTGCCAGTATCCATTCCCCTGCCAGTATCCATTCCCCTGCCAGTATCCATTCTCCCACCGGTATTCATTCCCCCACCGATACGAAACCCCCGACCGGGAAAAAAATAACTACCACTAAAAAATCTCCCACCATTAAAAAAACCCCCACCACTAAAAAATCCCCCACCATTAAAAAATCTCCCACCATTAAAAAATCCCCCACCACTAAAAAATCCCCCACCATTAAAAAATCCCCCACCATTAAAGAAACCCCCATTGGTGTCAAGAGGGAAAGTGCAGGAGAGGAAATGGCAGGAGGGGGAGCAGCACGAGGAGGAGGGGCAGCAGGAGGAGACACAGGGGTACTCAAGTCACCTCGTGGGGTGGGCAGCAGGGACAACGCAGGTTGGACCCTCGCTCAAGGAGGGGAGGCAACTGGAGGAGACACAGACGTACCCAAGTCGCCTCGAGGGGTGGGCAGCAGGGACAACGTAGCTTGGACCGCCCTCGCTCACGGCCTTCGCAGCAAAAGCTTCAACTATGGAAAAACAGGCATTGTAATTTCAGCAGGAGAGGAAGGAGGAGGGGGAGGGGGAGGCGGGGGGGAAACAGGGCCCCCCAAGTCGCCAAGAGGGGGAGGAGGGGGGAGGGGGAGGGGGAGGAGGAGGCGGAGGAGGAGGAGGAGGGGGGGAAACAGGGCCCCCCAAGTCGCCAAGAGGGGGAGAGAGGAGGGACGTTGTAACCTCAACCCCCCCCACTCACGGCCTTCGTAGCAAAAGCTTCAACTACGGAAAAACAAGCATTGCAATTTCAGCTGGAGGGGGAGGAGGAGGGGGGGGGGGAGGAGGGGGAGGGGGAGGGGGAGGGGGAGGGGGAGGAGGAGGCGGAGGAGGAGGGGGGGAAACAGGGCCCCCCAAGTCGCCAAGAGGAGGGGGGAGGAGGGACAGCGTAACTTGGACCCCCCCAACTCAAGAAGCAGCAAGAGGCGGAGGAGGAGCAGCAGGAGGGGACACAGGGGTTCCCAAGTCGCCTCGAGGGATGAGCAGGAGGGACAGCGTAACTTGGACCCCCCCAACTCCAGGCCTCCTCAGCAAAAGCTTCAGCGCCGCAAGTCCAACTATTAAAGCCAGTTATGAGACTTATCAAAGCTTCAGCACGGCAAGTCCAAGCTTCAAAGCCATGACTGTAGTGGGAGGAGGGGGGGCCATTAAAAAAGCTGCAGCAGGGGGGGCAGTAGGGGGAACAGCAGAGGGAGCAGCAGGGGGAGCAGCAGGGGAAGCAGCAGGGAAACCACCAAGGGGAGGGGGGGCAGCAGGAGGGGGCACAGGGGTTCCCAAGTCTCCTCGAGGGATGCCTAGTTTGCTCAACAAAAGCTTCAGTGCGGCAAGTCCAACCATCAAAGCCAGTTATGAGACTTATCAAAGCTTCGGCGCGGCAAGTCCAAGCTTCAAAGCCATGACTGTAGTGGGAGGAGGGGGGGCCATTAAAAAAGCTGCAGCAGGGGGGGCAGTAGGGGGAACAGCAGAGGGAGCAGCAGGGGGAGCAGCAGAGGGAGCAGCAGGGAGAGCAGCAGGGGGAGCAGGAGCGGGAGCAGCAAGGGAAGCAGCAGGGAAACCACCAAGGGGAGGGGGGGCAGCAGAAGGGGACACAGGGGTTCCCAAGTCTCCTCGAGGGGTGCCTAGTCTCCTCAGTAAAAGCTTCAGCGCCGCAAGTCCAACCATCAAAGCCTGTTTTGAGACGTATCAAAGCTGTAACGCCGCAAGTCAAAGCATCAAAGCCATGACGGTAGTGGGAGGAGTGGGAGCCATTAGAAAAGCAGCAGCAGAGGGAGCAGCAGGGGGAGAAGCGGGGGGAGCAGCAGGGGGAGCAGCAGGGGGAGCAGCAGGGGGAGAAGTAGGGGGAGCAGCAGGGGGAGCAGCAGGGGGAGCAGCAGGGGGAGCAGCAGGGGGAGCAGCAGAGGGAGCAACAGGAGAAGCAGCAAGGGCAGGGGGGGCAGCAGGAGGGGACGCATGGGTCCCCAAGTCTCCTCGACGGGCGCCTGTGAGGGCAGGCGGACTGAAAGAGGCCGCAGCAACGGCAATGACTCAAGCTCAGGCCGCTGCGTCTGCTTATGCCCCTGCTGCAGGAGGGGACACAGAAGTCTCCAAGTCTCCTCGACGGGTGCCTGTGAGGGCAGGCGGACAGAGAGAGGCTGCTGCTAAGGCAATGGCGAGACTCAACGCGGGGATGCGAGCAGCAGGAGGGGACACAGATGTACGCAAGTCTCCGCGAGAGGCTGCTGCAAGGGCAATGGCTCAAGCTCAGTCCGCTGCATCTGCTTGTGCCGCTGCAGCAGGAGAAGCAGCAAGGGGAGGGGCGGCAGCAGGAGGGGACGCAGAAGTCCCCAAGTCTCCTCGAGAGGCTGCGGCAAAGGCAATGGCGAGGCACAACGCGGCCATGCGCTGGAAACGCGCGGCTCAAGCTCATGCTGCTGCATCTGCAGCTGCTTCTGCTGCTAATGCTAATGCTGCTGCTGATGCTGCTGATAATGCTGCTGGTAATGCTGCTGGTAGTTCTGCTACCTCTGCTGCTGATGCCAGTGCAAACGGTGTTGCTGCTGCTGCAACGGCCACAGCAACAGCAGAAGCAGCATCAGCAGTTACTGCTTCATCAGCAGAGGCAGCCCCCGCCTACCTTCCCGGAACCTTCTCAGCAGTGTCTCACCTGCTGAATTCCTCTGGGCTCGGCGCGTGGCTCTCTCCCGGACCTAGCCCGGTAGGTTCGGGTGCTCACACTCCTGCAGGTTCGGCTATTCACACGCCTGCAGGTTCGGCCGCTCACACTCCTGCAGGTTCGGCTGCTCACACTCCTGCTGCATCTGATGATGATAGCAGCCCTCGCCAGCAGAGGCCTGTGAGTCTTGGCCGATTGGGAGAGCAGCAGCAGCAGCAGCAGCAGCAGCAGCAGCAGCAGCAGCAGCAGCAGCAGCAGCAGCAGCAGCTGGGGGAGCAGGGGCAGCGGAGAATAGGAGGAGGAAATCAGGCGGGGCTGAGTCCCGGAGGGCTGCCATCGGGAGTGAGATGGCGGGCGAGGATGGCCCGGCCTAACCTGGAGAGCGTGCAGGCGTCGTGGGTGCATGAGGATCCCGAGGACGATCCTGAGTATGCCGGCTGGGGGGCGACTCCCAAGGGAGAGAAGGCAGCAGCAGGAGGCTTTTGAGGCCTGCCCCTCGGGCCTCATATATTGCCGTGGGTGCATGATGACCCCGAGGACAATCCTGAGTATGCCGGCTGGGGGGCGACTCCCAAGGGAGGGAAGGCAGCAGGAGCAGGAGGTTTTTGAGGCAGCAGCAGGCGTAGCAGCAGCAGGTTTTAATATGACTTAGACTACTCGGAGTCGCCCCGGAGCACTCGAGGGCGTTCCATGCGGGATATTAATCGTGGTGAATGCATGAGGACCTTTGACTCGACTCAAAAGTCATCTTGTTACAATGTCGCGCGGCGCCGTTCTACAAGAAGTAATATCATTGCCTGGAGGTTACCTAATCTTAATTATTACTTTTTTTTTTTGGCAGTGCTAAATTGTAGATTGTATTGCTAGAGTACACACACACACACACACACACACACACACACACACACACACACACACACACACACACACACACACACACACACACACACACACACACACACACACACACACACATACACACACACACACATACACACACACACACACACACACACACGCACGCACACACACACACACACGCGCGCGCGCGCGCGCACACACACACACACACACACACATACATATATATATATGTATAAGTACTTCGTAGTCTAGGTTGAGTTGCTCTATATAGAGTATGGGTTGCTACTTTTATCCCTCTTTTTGTGCTGTGTTGTGTTATGACCAGAACGTGAACTTTGGTGCGTTCCCCATTGTGTAGAAATGGGTAAGAGCGTATTCCTATCCTCGTATCAAGAAAACCTCATATCAACCTCCCACTGAAAATTCCCCTAAACCCAAAACCTCTCGCTACTTTTACCAGGCAAAGAGTACAATCTTGATATGAGGTTTTCTTGATACGAGGATAGGAATACGCTCTAAGAGTTAAGTGTACAGAGAGGCTATCAAAACATTCGCGCTTGCTTTTCCAGTCTGATGCTTCCTTGCTTGCCAAGCTTGTCTGTTGCTGGCACAGAGGTTCTGTGCAATGAAACAACTTGCAGCTGCGCTGTGCCTTCCTGACTAGAAATCGCACCAGATTTCAAGAGTTGATGTTGGTGAGA